TAGTAAACTTAGTTTCTTTTGTAACTCAGAGCCTGCAGAGTCCTTATTTTGCGACGCAGTGTCTGGTGATCTAGCAATCCTTCTGCTGTGCACCGCCAAACTCTGACACCCTTGTGCATCCAGATGTCAGCAAAAGGCAAAACACAAAGTGCTTAAACAAAATTAAAACTTTGCTCTGGTAAGACCTTGTTCCCTCGAAAAGGCTGACCGAAAGCAAACACAGGAGAGAAGGAAGCAGAGTATTGGTAGACATATCATGAAACTATGGATCCATTTATTTACATGTAGAAAACCAGAAGAACAAGTGGGGGGAGGGGGGCTTTCTTTAGAGAAGGGATCATTCCTGCGGAAGGAAAAAAAACTGACATATATTCCAATACTTTTCAAACCTTTACTTGCTGTTTTCATACAAGGAGCTTTGATCCTTGGTGTCCCTTAACAGCTGCATAAGATTGAAATGGCTGCCAAAGAGCCTCAAAGGGGAGCCTGTCACAATTTCGAGTCACTATAAAACAACCCCAAAATTCATTTTTTCTCTCTCTCTTCTGCTGTGACGGCACTCCTCCAAAACATTTGAAGTTACGAGCTCAAAGTCTGTTCGGAGCCAGATTGTAACGATGCAATCGCTGCCAAAGCAATTTTGGGCCGACGAGCCGGAGATCCAAGTACATCACGATGTCCAATGTGGAGGTCAAAGAAAGGGAACAATTCAGGATGGGTACTTACTGCCCTAAATGCCCCACGAGGAAGCTATACAGGGTTCCCTGACTAACTGAACTTGGCAAAATTGAGAGGAAAGGGGCAGAAAATAATCCACCATAGAAAACAGCTATGAAAGCTATGAAAACTGAAATTTTAAAGCGGGGGAAAGGGCTAATAACGGAAATACGTTTTTCCTTTCAAAGGTGATGGTTCTCAGGACAAGATTTCTGGCACCCGTTCCATCCTAGCATCACACACAAGCGTTTAAAACCCTATCATAAACAGAAATACGAGTGGAAGAAAGTCACAAGTTCAGTAGGCAGTCTCCTCTTTCAAAGCGAGGGAAGAAGTTCACAGTAAAATGGAAGAGAGGAGGAAGTTATTCCCAAGTTATCTGCAACTGAGTTCTGAGATTTGAAAGCTGATTTCGACAAACAAGTCCACTGCAGAAACAGCGAGGAAAAAAAATCCAAAGAAAAATAAACATATCCACGGAAAGGGCATTCTGCATCTCAAAAGCTTGCGTCAAGATGTCAGGGATGACGTACGTTTTGCAGATATTGTTTTTTTTTTTAATATAATATACATGCATTATTGCTTGGAGAGAGAGAGACGGAAGATGGAAGTGTCTGCGGCAGGCGGCTAAGGGGCCATCCAGAACGGCATCTGTTGCTTCGCCCGTTGCTGGGAGGAAGGGTACTGGTATCCTAAACTCCACGTCTGCGAGTAGCTACTTGCGTTTTTATGCCCGCCGTGGTCTTCCTCTTCGTCCGAGGAGTCGCCGGTGTAAGCGACCAACCCAAACCCCTTCTCGTTCGCTTTCATCTTCTTCGCTGGATGATCTAAAAGTGACAAGGAGGAAAGAGAGAGAGAGAAAAAAACAAGACATCCCACCCCAAAAAAGAGAAAGGTAAAATAAAAATAAATATCCCTCAAACACGTTAATTCAAAATGAAGAGGCATTGTAAAGATATCGTTAGTCGGACACCATTTGGAGGTCAAGAGCCGACCGAAAGTCACCCCAGGAAGGAGGCCCACGCCACGTGGCATCGGCATCGGCACAAGCGTGATCCGTCAGAACCATGTAAGAGAACAGAGAGAGAGAGAGAGAAAAAAAGAAAAGACACAAAAAAGAAAGAAAAATGCAAGTTAGCAAAATCAGACTACAAGACGTTGTCCGTTACAGAATACAAGTATTTTAAAAAGGGCGGGGAGAGTCCAACTACAGGTAATGGGTCTTGGGAGGTTTGTTTTGGACTGTTAAAAGGATTCATAATTAAGAAAGCACCGAGTTCTCCAGAAGCCTGAGAAGTGTAAAAACACAGGCTCAGCTGTGCTCACCAAAAAGGCACACTTCACAACTCATTACAAAACCCTATACGGTTCCGGCCCAGCATATCTGTCCAAACGCATCTCCTTCTATGTCCCGCCTCGGAGTTTAAGATCTTCTGGGGAGGCTCTGCTCTCGGCCCCACCTCTATCACAAGTGAGATTGGTGGGGACAAGGAGCAGGGCCTTCACGGTGGTGGCCCCTCACCTGTGGAATTCACTTCCCGGGAAAATTAGGTCATCGACATCCCTCCTCTCTTTTAGAAGGAAACTAAAAACATGGATATGAGACCAGGCCTTTGGGTAATCTGGCAGATAGACAAAGGACAATGACGACTAGAATTGATAGGATTTGACAATGTGGAATGAACTTACGGATTCTGAGCTGGCGAATGTTGAACATTAGATTGGTTTTTATTGATTGTGATGTATAACTTGATTGTTTTAATTGTTTTATAATTGCTGTTGATACATGTTTTATATTGTTGTCTGTTGTTGGCATCGAATTGTGCCTTTTGTAAGCCGCCCTGAGTCCCCCCTCGGGGGTTGAGAAGGGCGGGGTAGAAGTGTGCGAAATGAATAAATAAATAAACTACAGGTAATGGGTCTTGGGAGGTTTGTTTTGAACTGTTAAAGGATTCATAATTAAGAAAGCACCGGGTTCTCCAGAAGCCTGAGAAGTGTAAAAACGCAGGATCAGCTTTGCTCACCAAAAAGGCACACTTCACAACTCATTAGGGCAGGGGTCCTCAAACTAAGATACAACCTTCCAAGGTCATTTACCCGACCCTCGTTCAGGGTCAACCTAAGTCTGAAACGACTTGAAAACACACAACAACAGCAACAACAGCAACCCTATCTCATCAACCAAAAGCAGGCCCACACTTCCCATTGAAATGCTAGTTTATATTTGTTACAGTTGTTCTTCATTTTAATTATTGTATTGCTTTTAAGTGGATTTTTTTTTGCACTACAGACTGTGACCTGGCCCTCTGTTTAAAAAGTTTGAGGACCCCTGCATTAGGGAGAAGAATGCAACTAAACACACATACATTCCATCTTTACTAAACTGTACTTCTTGTCTGCGCTTCTGGGACACATAGTAGACGACGTCGTGTGACATAGTGTTGGGGCAGAGAAGGAAGAAAAAGGGAATGGATAAGAATCATAGAATCAGAGTTGGAAGAGAGAGTTTAAAAGCTTCCAAAGAAGGAGCCTCCATCATACTCCAGGGCACAATTCTATCATTGGTGGGGTTCAGAAGGCTCTTTGATGGTAGGTGAACTATAAATCCCAGCTACTACAACTCTCAAATGTCAAGGTCTATTTTCCCCAAACTCCACAATTGGGCATATTGAGTATTGGTGCCAAGTTTGGTCCAGATTCATCATTGTTTGATTCATAGAATCCTAGAGTTGGAAGAGACCTCATGGGCCATCCAGTCCAACCCCATTCTGCCAAGAAGCAGGAATATTGCATCCAAAGCACCCCCAGCAGATGGCCATCCAGCCTCTGTTTAAAAGCCTTCAAAGAAGGAGACTCTACCACACTCCGGGGCAGAGAGTTCCACTGCCAAAATGCTAATCAAGGTGGTCAGCTGAAACATTCACACCTAGCTCCAACAGACAATAGTCCTTTGTTCCACCCTGGTCATTCCACAGATATATAAACCCATTTTCCTAGTTCCAACAGACCTCACTACCTCTGAGGATGCTTGCCATAGATGCAGGCGAAACGTCAGGAGAGAATGCTTCTAGAACATGGCCATATAGCCCGAAAAAACCTACAACAACCCAGTGAAACCCTTCGACAAAACCACAAAACCCTTCAACAACACATTATTATTACCATTATTAACTTTGTTTTTGTGGGACATCCTGCAGCAGGTTTTGATATATGGATTGTCGAAGGCTTTCATGGGTTTATATATCTGTGGAATGACCAGGGTGGGACAAAGGACTCTTGTCTGTTGGAGCTAGGTATGAATGCTTCAACTGATCACCTAAAATTAGAACAGCACAACAGAAAGGAAACAAACAAGGACATCTGATCACCTCTCAAAAAAAGATTGCTCCAGGCCCTGCCAGGCAATCAAATGCTAATCAAGGTGGTCAGTTGAAACATTCACACCTAGCTTCAGCAGACAAGAGTCCTTTGTCTCACCTTGGTCATTCCACAGATATATAAACCTTTTTTCCTAGTTCTAACAGACCTCACTACCTTCGGGCTATATGGCCATGTTCTAGAGGCATTTTCTCCTGATGTTTCGCCTGCATCTATGGCAAGCATCCTCAGAGGTAGTGAAGTCTGTTGGAATTAGGAAAATGGGTTTATATATCTGTGGAATGACTGGGGTGGGGCAAAGAGCTCTTCTCTGCTGGAGCTGGGTGTGATTGTTTCAAAAACTTTGTTTTTGCGGGACATCCTGCAGCAGGTTTTGCTATAGTTTTTCAATGAATATCTCTCAGAGTCTTAATCAATACAACATAGTTTGTGGCAGCCACAAAAACAAACAACTACTTTCAAAGTAAGGACCGCACAGACCGCACATGTAAACAGGAAATAACACTTTCAAACCAGGAATTGTGGCGCGGCTGGCTGAGTGTCAGCTGCATTAAGATCACTCTGACCAAAAGGTTCGAAGCCAGCCCGGGTTGGAGTGGGTTTCCAACCAATTGTGCGTAGCCTGTTGTCGACCTTTGCAACCCGAAAGACAGTTGCATCTGTCAAGTAGGAAAAAAAGGTACCACCTTAAAGTGTGGGGAGGCTAAATTAACTGATTTATGAGGCCATAAAGAAGACTCCAGCAAAGCATTCCAGCAGGGAAGCATGCGGGGAATGCGGAAGTACATCATCAGCGTCGCAGATGGACGATGAAAGCGACAGCTCCCCTGGTGGCCAGAAAAGTTAAAAAGCCTCTGTGTATGTCTGTATATGTTTGTATGTCAAAAATTGCCATATATGTGTACACCGTAATCCGCCCTGAGTCCCCTGCGGGGTGAGAAAAGCGGAATATAAAAGCTGTAAATAAAATAATAAATAAACAGAAAAAATTCAAAATATGTTACGTTGTGTTATGAGAGCTCCAGCATCCCTTTTCCATCTTGCACAAGGAGGCTTCCATTACATATGACTAGATGTTATGTGTTAAATATTAGTGGCCTTAAAAAAAGGTTTTCAGATAGAAGAAACCACAGAAGAGACAACTGACAGCGAAAGACCTAAGCATCAAGTTACAGATATCAACACATTGGAATCAGTTTCGGTCCATAAAGTGCGAGGTGAGATCAATACTAGTCCTCAAGTATAATCAGTAAGGATTCCTCAACAAGGTCAAAGGCCTGTTTGAAGAGCCAAGTCTTCAAATTGGTTCAAAATCTAATCTCCCTGGGATCACAAAGGAACAAGAACGAAACATGAGAACTCAATGAGGTGCCAGAGACAACATGGGGAAGAACGGAGAGGAGAAGCCGGCTGCTCATTGCATAACCCTGCAGGGCAGCGCTGACGGAGCATAGAGGAATAAGGCCACCTCTCACACGCACACGCTCACCATTGCCGCCCAGGGACCCATTTCGATCGTCAGGCTCGGCTTTCATTCCGGTTACTGGTAAAGACGGCGGAGGCATCAGCTGCCTGTTCGGTGACAAAGGAAAACAACCGTTACCAACTGGCATTTCAAAGGCTCCAAAGGTTATGAACATACCAAGCCATGCTTAAACTATAGAATCATCGAGTTGCTCATAGGTTTGCTCTTGCTGGGAACAGAAGGGAGTAATCAGTCTCAGCAAGAAGAGATAAGCAGATGTGAAGAGGCTTTCGTTTTGACTAGTTCCTGAATTGTAGCTCGCTGTAGTAAGACGTGTCTGTTGAATGTGCTTAGTAAACTTAGTTTCTTTTGCAACTCAAAGCCTGAAGAATCCTTATTTTGCAACTCAGTGTCTGATGATCTAGCATTCCTTCTGCTGGGCATCGTCTGAACTCTGACAGAAGAGAACTCATGGGCCATCCAGTCCAACTCCATTGGACCACACCTGGAATACTGTGTCCAGTTCTGGGCACCACAACTGAGGAGAGATATTGACAAGCTGGAATGTGTCCAGAGGAGGGCGACTAAAATGATCAAGGGTCTGCAGAACAAGCCCTATGAGGAGTGGCTTAAAGAGCTGGGCATGTTTAGCCTGAAGGCTGAGAGGAGACATGATAGCCTCATGGGCCATCCAGTCCAACCCCTGGCAAGAAGCAGGAATATTGCATTCAAATCACCCCTGACAGATGGCCATCCAGCCTCTGTTTAAAAGCTTCCAAAGAAGGAGCCTCCACCACACTCCGGGACAGAGAGTTCCACTGCTGAATGGCTCTCACAGTCAGGAAGTTCTTCCTCATGTTCAGATGGAATCTCCTCTCTTGTAGTTTGAAGCCATTGTTTGCGTCCTAGTCTCCAAGGAAGCAGAAAACAAGCTTGCTCCCTCCTCCCTATGACTTCCTCTCACATATTTATACATGGCTATTTATTATTATTATTATTATTATTATTATTATTATTATTATTATTTCGCATATTTCTACCTCGCCCTTCTCAACCCCTGAGGGAGGACTCAGGGCGTCTTACAAAAGGCACAATTCGATGCCAGCACAACAATAAGATAAATATATATCCTCACCCATATTGTGCTTCAGTAGTTTTATATTTTTAATGTACCAAACATACCAAGTTTGTATGAAAATGTGACTCTATTTTCTGTGCTGGTCAATGACCGAAATAAAAGGTTTTGAATACATATATAGACAGCAATTATAAACCGTTAAAACAATCAATTTTACATCACTATCAATAAAACCAGTCTAGTGCTCAACGTTCGGCAGCTCAGAATCCGTAAATTCATTCCACATTGTCAAATCCTATCAATTCTAGTCGTCATTGTCCTTTGTCTATCTGCCAGATTACCCAAAAGCCTGGTCCCACATCCATGTTTTTAGTTTCCTTCTAAAGGAGAGGAGGGATGTCGATGACCTAATCTCCCGGGGAGTGAATTCCACAGGTGAGGGGCCACCACTGAGAAGGCCCTGCTCCTCGTCCCCACCAACCTCACTTGGGATAGCGGTGGGGTCGAGAGCAGGGCCTCCCCAAATGATCTCAAATTCCGGGGTGGGACGTAGAGGGAGATACGTTCGGACAGATACGCTGGACCGGAACCTTAAAGGGTTTTGTAGGTCAAAACCTATCACTCTGAGCCAGAGTGAAGCTAGAGGAGGCCAGGGGACAGTTCCAACTTGTCTCCTGTGCTATGCTAATTTATTAATATAATATAATACATATAATATTTATAATATCATAATGTAATACATAATAATACTACTAATAATATTATAATTATATATTTTATATTACATGTAATATTACTAATAATATTACAATATATTTGTATAGTACAATATAGAATCATAGAATCCTGGAGGTGGAAGAGACCTCATGGGCCATCAAGTCCAACTCCATTGGACCACACCTGGAATACTGTGTCCAATTCTGGGCACCACAATTGAGGAGAGATATTGACAAGCTGGAATGTGTCCAGAGGAGGGTAACTCAAATGATAAAGGGTCTGGAGAACAAGCCCTATGAGGAGCGGCTAGAAAGAGCTGGGCATGTTTAGCCTGAAGAAGAGAAGGCTGAGATCATGATAGCCATGCATAAATATGTGAGAGGAAGTCATAGGGAGGAGGGAGCAAGCTTGTTTTCTGCTTCCCTGGAGACTAGGATATGGAACAATGGCTTCAAACTACAAGAGAGGAGATTCCATCTGAACATGAGGAAGAACTTCCTGACTGTGAGAGCCGTTCAGCAGTGGAACTCTCTGCCCTGAAGTGTGGTGGAGGCTCCTTCTTTGGAAGCTTTTAAACAGAGGCTGGATGGCCATCTGTCAGGGGTGCTTTGAATGCAATATTCCTGCTTCTTGGCAGGGGGTTGGACTGGATGGCCCATGAGGTCTCTTCCAACTCTATGATTCTATGACTCAAACAATGATGGACCTGGACCAAGCTTGGCACCAATACTCAATATGCCCAAATGTGGAGTTTGGAGGAAATAGACCTTGACATTTGGGAGTTGTCGTAGCTGGGATTTATGCCCAGAATTTTTTAAAATTTTAATTATTACATTTGGCCCTGCCATAGGTTTTTAATGCGTCGTGGTGTTATTGTTACTGTTTATTGCTTTGTTTATGAGTTTATTTATTGTCTGTATTGCTGTTGTTGTTGTCATTACTGATGTACTTGGGCCCGGCCTCTTGTAAGCCGCACCAAGTCCTTCGGGAGATGGTAGCGGGGTAAAAATAAATGTTTATTATTATTATTATTAATAATAATAATAATAATAATAATAATAATAATATTAATATTATTTATAGTTCACCTACCATCAAAGAGCCTTCTGAACCTCACCAATGATAGAATTGGGCCAAACTTCCCACACAGAACTCCCATGACCAACAGAAAATACTATGTTTGGTGACCCGCCCCCCCCGACACCCCCTCGTAACCCCCGCAGAGGTCCCGACCCCCAGGTTGAGAAAAACCATTCTAGGATGACAAGAAGGTGAGACACACTGAATCTTGTTCACCCCCACAACCATGCTTTATCTTGTTCCGCTTCACAACCCACCTGTCCCTCTCTCTCTCCTTTCCTGAGGAACTTGCTGGTTTCGCGCCGGCTGCGTCCATCTCGGTCTGACTGGAGAAGCCTGCACCTAAATTAGTCATATGAATGGGTCCATGCTATGAGCAGAAAAACACAGTGGCATTAGCAAATCTAAAACTATCACACAAGCTATTAGCTCCTTAATGAAAATTCTGCAGGTGAGCCCAACCTCTCTTCCTTTATTTTTTCATACCACACACCACTACGCTTCCTTTGTCTTGATCCACAAACAGGGTGGGAACATTGGCAATGGCCTGTTACATAACAGTGAGTATATGAAACTCAAAATATATGATAACTAGCTATCCCCTGCCACGCGTTGCTGTGGCCCAGTCTGTGTATATGTGTATTGTGTGTGTATATATATGTGTGTATATATTTGTGTATATGTGTATATATGTGGTTTTGCACCGGTGTTGTAATGTAATTCTTTTATTTTTGGCTTTTTAAGTCAAAAATGCTGTGTTGTTGTAGGTTTTTCGGGCTATATGGCCATGGTCTAGAGGCATTTTCTCCTGACGTTTCGCAAGCATCCTCAGAGGTAGTAAAGTCTGTTGGAACTAGGAAAGATAGCCATTAGGCCTGTGCGGTTTCGTTCGTTAATTCGTTATTAATTCGTTATTTTTGGCATTTCCGAAGCGATATCAAAACACATTTCCAAACCCGGAAGGGTTTTAAAATATCGAACCAGCAACCCCCATAGATTTAACGAGCCTCCGCTCGTTTCGTTAATGGGGTGGAGGCTGCTGGAGTGCTGGTGCATGGGAGCCAATCCGGCGCTCCCAAGCAGTGCACCATGGGTCCGTGGCTGTCTGTTTTTGATTGGCCGGCGAGCCCTTTCAAAGCGGCTCCGCGCGGCCCGTAGCTTGCTGCAGAGGGCGAGGGAGTTTGCATTGGGTTGGCTTGGCAATGGCTGCCTGCTAGCAACTGGGATTGGATTCATTCCTTGCTGCTGTGAGTGCTGCTTGCTTCATTTTCTGTCTCTTGCCTGTGTTTGGTCCACATTTGGGCCATTTTTTGGTTAATTTTCCATTTTAAAATATTTTTTAATATTATTTTTTAATATTATTTTTAATATTATTCTTAAAAAATATTCTAAAAAAGAAAAGACTCTTCTGTTGGTGTGTGCTCTCATTTGCTGTATCCTGCCTATGTTTGGTCCACATTTGGGCCATTTTTTGGTTAATTTTCCATTTTAAAATATTTTTTAATATTATTTTAATATTATTCTTAAGAAATACCAAAAATATTCTAAAAATTCGTTAATATTTACAAAATTTCGTAAATACCAAAACTTTTTTGGGGGAAAGTTTTGTAGTTATTTTAAATATCGAAACAAAAAAACACCCCAATTACAAATCGATTTTAGAAACAAATTTTTTCTTGATCAACAGGCCTATGCTCTATCAAGCAGACTCTGGTCTGTTGGAGCTAGGTGTGAATGTATCAACTGACCACCTTGATTAGCATTTGATGGCCTGGCAGTGCCTGTGACAATCTTTTGTTGAGGGGTGATTAGCTGTCCCTGGTTGTTTCCTCTCTGTTGTTTTCCTTTGTAATTTTAGAGTTTTTTTAATACTGGTAGCCAGATTTTGTTCATTTTCATGGTTTCCTCTTTTTTCCACCGTGTCAGACTACACAGAGAAGCCATTGCAATCCACAAGCATGTGGACAATTTCAACAACCTTTTGATCTACTCATACTTGCGTGTTTACAAACTGCTAGGTTGGCTGAAGCTGGGGCTAACAGCAGGAGCTCACCCTGCTCCCCGGATTCGAACAGCCAACCTTTCAATCAGTAATTTCAGCAGCTCAGCAGTTTAACCCGCTGCTGCAATGGGGGCTCCATTCTGGTCTCCATAGTCCAACAATATTCAAAACTATTACACTATGCTAACTCTCTATTATGAACCCTGGGAAGTTGTTTTTCATGCAACTAGCATCATTATTAGTATGGGTGATATTTATCGAATGTCCCCCAAGGCGGCCCAGGACTTTTTTTTTACCCTCCCCATTTTGTATTAAATCTGTACCTAGAAAACTTTGTGTCTTTTGGGATGTGGGGGGAGCAGGAGGTGTATAAAAAAGAAGGGCTGAAACGCTATGAAGATAGAGTTGGGGAGTGGGGGGAGGAGAAGAGAAGGGGTCTACATTTTTAGGGTAAAGGTAAATGTTTTCCCCTGACATGAAGTCCAGTCGTGTCTGACTCTGGGGTGTGGTGCTCATCTCCATTTCTAAGCCGAAGAGCCAGCGTTGTCCATAGACACCTCCATTTTATTATGTTGTAACAAACATTACATTATTATTTATATAATAATAATAATAATAATAATAATAATAATAATAATGACGACGATGATGATGTCTGGAGTGGCTCCATGTTTGGGAAGGATGCTTTTTGTATGAATCCCCAGTGAAATAAAGTGCTTCCACCTTTCAACTATCAAAATCCAACAACAGAAGCAGAGGAAGAACTCCTTCAAAAGCCTGGGATCCCTTTAAAGGGGTCACTTCTCATTCCAAGGCTCTACAAAGATACAAATAATGTTCTGCAGAGTCATTAACCCATCTTAAGATCACTCTGACCAAAAAGTCATGAGTTCAAAGCCAGCCCGGGTTGGAGTGGGTTTCCAACCAATTGTGTGTAGCCTGTTGTCGACCTTTGCAACCCAAAAGACAGTTGCATCTGTCAAGTAGGAAAATTAGGTACCACCTTAAAGTGTGGGGAGGCTAAATTAACTGATTTATGAGGCCATAAAGAAGATTCCAACAAAGCATTCCAGCGGGGAAGCATGCGGGGAATGCGGAAGTGCTTCATCAGCGTTGCAAATGGACGATGAAAGCGACAGTTCCCCTGGCGGCCAGAAAAAGTTAAATAGGCTCTGTGTATGTTTGTATGTCAAAAATTGGCATTGAATGTTTGCCATATATGTGTACACTGTAATCCGCCCTGAGTCCCCTGAGGGGTGAGAAGGGCGGAATATAAAAGTTGTAAATAAATAAATATTATATTCCAATACCAAAATACTGACAATCCTAATACCGACGTTGAGAAAGGGTATTCCTTCCCACACATACACCTCCAAACTGAGATAAAATGGCTCTGAGTCAGAAGTCAAAGCGTGGGACCAGCCACTTGGCAATAGAAAAAGGTTTGGGAAAGAGGCAACAAAACGACTGTGTATCACCTGGTAGCCCAGCAGCCCGGATTCATGCTCATCCGGCAGCTCTTCTGTGAAGCGCCTCTTCTGGCCCAGTTGGGGTTGGCCTGGCAGCTGCGTATTGGCCGGCAAAGCGGTCTTTCCAGGGGCGGCGGGAAGAAGCGAAGGGCCCAGAGGCGCCTGGGAAGCACAGGGAAATAGTAAGGAAAGCGTTTCAAAATGTCCGAAGGAAGATTAAAACAAGATCATTGCTGCAGAGCTGGAAGGGCAGCGCCTTCAAAATTCTATGACTTACAATGGAGACTAAAATAAATATTCACACTCTCTTAAGGAAAAATAGCTTAGGAAAACCTATTCACATGGCAACAGACTACTGGTTGCACAGACAAATATATACAGAAATAATAATAATCTATATCTATCTATATCTATATATCTATCTATATAATAAAAGAGAATGTATGTATGTATGTATGCGGAGGGCGTACAGCTTTCTGATTGGTTGCCACTGTGGTATTATTTGCATATGGCCTCTGATTGGCCAGCCTCAACATTCTGACGTGAAAAAGAGAGGAGAGGTAAAGGCCTGAGGCTGTGGCAGCTATCTGTTTGGTTGCCACTGCGGTACAATTTGCATATGATCTCTGATTGGCCAGCCTCAATATTCCAACTTTCTGAGGTGGCAGAGAGAGGAGAGATAAGGGTCTGAGAGACAGACCTGGACCACACTTGGCCCACATAACCCCCATGACCCCCTTCAGGTCCTGGTGAGGCTTGGGGGACGACGGACAAACGATGATGGGATTTGTAGTACTTTCAAACCCTTCCGTTCCCACAGACCACTGCAGCCCCCAACAAAGACCAAACTTGGCACACAGAGCCCCCATGACCCACTCTACATCCTACTGCAGTTTGGAGGAGGGAAGACCATAGATGATGGGACTTGAAGTACCTCCACTCAATTCTCGAGACCACTGCGACCCTCATCCAATTACCAATAAAAACCAAACCTGGCCCACAAAGCCCCCATGGCCAACTCAACATTCTGGTGCGGTTTGGGGAGGACAGACTACGGATGATGGGACTTGCAGTACCTTCACTCACTTCCTGAGACCACTGCAAACCTCATCCAATCACTGATCAAGACCAAACTTGGCACACAGAGCCCCCACGACTCACTCTACATCCTGGTGTAGTTTGGAGGAAGATGTACCATGGATGTTGGGACTTAAAGTACTTTCACTTCCCGAGACCACTATGACCCTCATCCAATGACTATCAAGACCAAACTTGGCACACAGAGCCCCCATGACCCACTCTACACCTGGTGCAGTTTGGAGGAGGATGGACCACGGATGATGGGACTTGAAATACCTTCACCACTACAAGCCACATAAATAACTGATAAAGACCAACCTTGGTACACAATGACTTTCTCAAATCATCCGGGCAGCGCCGGGTACCCAAGCTAATAATAATAATAATAATAATAATAATAATAATAATAATAATAATAAATGCCTCTAGAACATGGCCCTATAGCCCGAAAAAACCCACAAGAACCTAATAATAATAATCTTTATTTATACCCCGCCACCATCTCCCCGATGGGCACTCGGGGCGGCTAACATGAGGCCAAACCCAAAAATACAATAAAGCACAAAAAAATACAAAAAATTACATCAGAAAATAGTTACGGTAGCAAAATAAAATAAAGAAAGCAAACTAACACAATATAAAATCGAACAGGATGGGCAGGCCAAATGGACGAGATACAATGATAAAACCCTGGGTGAGGTAGAAATAGAAAATATGTAAGTGAAGGGAGACCAGGAATGGTGAAACAATGGGGTAAGGCTTTCAATTTAGAACACGGGAAAGTGTACCATAGGGGTAACACTACAGATGGAGTAAACAGAAATGGAATAAATGATTACTTTCCAAAGTGACCAATACGGTAATTCACCCAAAGTCAGGCCAATAACCTAGTGCCTTACCTGGCCAGTACTTGCAGGTGGTTGCACTTGAGGAATTGGGTACTGGGTGGGCACAGGAGGGACTCCCGTGGGAAGGGTCAAGACTCCTGGCGCCAATGGGACGGCAGGAGGCACAATGCCTGGCACGCCATAAGGAGGCTGCACTGGTTGCTGAGGTGGAGGAACCACCGGATAGCCAGCCTGGAAGCCGTTGGGTGGGTAATAAGGTGGCTGAGGGGGGACTGTGGCCACCGTTGCAGGCTGAGCGAACCCTAGTTGGAAGAAACAGGAAAGGACAGACATGTGAAAGCAGTCTTTACTCTCTGGCTGTAATTCTTACACAAGACCCCTTGCCTGTTCCATGATCTTTTCTCTTTGTCCTCCCCAGCTTCAACACATTCATCCCACAACAGAATCCAAACTCGTAACACTGAATACTCATTCTGACAATACGCACCTGCTAAGGGCACCGCCGTGGTTATCTGGTTCACAAACCGTGAGTATTCAGCATGAACCTTTGAAGAAATTGATGATGATTATTAATATATTTCACATGTCTGTCCAAGCTGGAATGTGTCCAGAGGAGGGCGACTAAAATGATCAAGGGTCTGGAGAACAAGCCCTATGAGGAGCGGCTTGGGGAGCTGGGCATGTTTAGCCTGAAGAAGAGAAGGCTGAGAGGAGATATGATAGCCATGTATAAATATGTGAGAGGAAGCCACAGGGAGGAGGGAGCAAGCTTGTTTTCTGCTTCCTTGGAGACTAGGACGTGGAACAATGGCTTCAAACTACAAGAGAGGAGATTCCATCTGAACATTAGGAAGAACTTCCTGACTGTGAGAGCCGTTCAGCAGTGGAACTCTCTGCCCCGGAGTGTGGTGGAGGCTCCTTCTTTGGAAGCTTTTAAGCAGAGGCTGGATGGCCATTTGTCAGGGGTGATTTGAATGCAATATTCCTGCTTCTTGGGCAGGGGGTTGGACTGGATGGCCCATGAGGTCTCTTCCAACTCTTTGATTCTATGATTCTATGATTCAGTGGATTTTTAACTTGTATTTTAACTCTGTATCTTGTTGTATGTGTTTTAATAGTGTTTTATCTCTTGTTTTAACAATGGTGTACTCAGCCTTGAGTCACAGGGAGAGGCAGGTAATACGATTATTATTATTATTATTATTATTATTATTGACACAAAAACACAGTATGTCACAGCAAACAAAGATATATATGCTGGATTTCGTATCACAAGTCAAGCGCTTCTCAAGCATCTAGAACTGTGTAATTTATTATTATTATTGTTATTATTATTATTATACTACTATTATTATTATTACTACTACTACTAGCTGTCCCCTGCCACGCGTTGCTGTGGCCCAGTCTGGTGATCTGGAAAATAAAGTAATGAGAAAGTGTTGGTTTCTAATATAAAAAATTGCTTTATGCTTGTGAGTAAACAGTATTTCTTGTTGTTTCTTTGTCAGTGTTGATGTGGAGAGTGTCTGGTTTGCCTACTCTGGAACATACAACATATCATAGTCCTTCTTTATGGGTCCCTTTCAAATCTATGATACTATATCTGTGCGTGTGTGAATCATATATATCTATCTATATCTATGTTTGGATGGCTCTTTGTCAGGAAGGCTCTGATTACATTTTCTTGCTCTGGTAAAAAGAGTTTGACTGGATGGCCTTAAGTATTTTCTGTTGGTCATGGGAGTTCTGTGTGGGAAATTCGCCCCATTTCTGTCGTTTGTGGGATGCAGAATGCTCTTTATTTATTTATTTATTATTTGAACTTATATGCCGCCACTCCCCTGGGGATCAGAGCGGCTTACAAGAACAGGCTAAAATCAAACACAATTTAAAAACAATTTTAAACAATTTAAAATTGGTAGGTGAACTATAAATCCCAAATGTCAAGGTCTATTTCCCCCAAACTCCATCGGTGTTCATATTTGGGCATATGGAATATTTGTGCCAAGTTTGGTCCTGATCCATCATTGTTTGAGTCCACAGTGTTCTCTGGATGTAGGTGAACTAAAACTCCCAAACTCAAGGTCAATGCCCACCATAGAATCATAGAATCAAAGAGTTGGAAGAGACCTCATGGGCCATCCAGTCCAACCCCATTCTGCCAAGAAGCAGGAATATTGCATTCAAATCACCCCTGACAGATGGCCATCCAGCCTCTGTTTAAAAGCTTCCAAAGAAGGAGCCTCCACCACACTCCGGGGCAGAGAGTTCCACTGCTGAACGGCTCTCACAGTCAGGAAGTTCTTCCTAATGTTCAGATGGAATCTTCTCTCTTGTAGTTTGAAGCCATTGTTCCGCGTCCTAGTCTCCAAACCCTTCTAGTGTTTTCTGTTGGTCATGGGAGTTCTGTATGCCACATTTGGTTCAATGCCATAATTGGTGGAGTTCAGAATGCTCTTTGATTGTAGGTGAACTATAAATCCCAGCAACTACAACTCCCAAATGACAAAATCAATTTTTTTGAGTGAAGGACATACATTGGGCTGTTAGGTGTATGCTGTCCAAATTTGATGTCAATTGACCCACTGGTTTTTAAGTTCTGTTAATCCCACAAACGAACATTACATTTTTATTTATATAGATTACTATCATTGTTATTGTCAGGATTATTTAATATTGTCACGATAATTATTGCATTATAATCAAGCAGGGTCAAATATGTACATTTCATTCACCCAAATGACTACTCTAACGAGGCATTTTTTAGGTGAATCTGGTATAACAATAACAATTATTATTTTATTTCTTATCTGCTTCTCCTTGTGGCTCGAGGTGGGGCGGAACACCCCCACATGATGTAAAATACATATATTAAAATGTATTTCCATGAAAATACTAATATACATACAGAACAAAGATTAAAATACTGTAAGCACAGAGTGTGAATTTAAAATTTGGCATATGTTATGAAAGCAAACCCTTGCTTAGTGCCATACTGGCTGTTATTTGGGTAGCAAAGGAAAGCTTCCCCCCAAACCAATGGCATCAGATAAGGAGAGGTCTGTATCCCATTCCCAGCCTCAGCAGTTATTTACTTTGAGTTGCTGTGTTTTTTCTGGGCTGTATGGCCATGTTCCAGAAAAATTCTCTCCTGACATTTTGCCCACATCTATGGCAGGCATCCTCAGAGGTTGTGAATTCGGTTGGAAACAATGGGGTTTACATATCTTTGAAATGTCCAGCGTGGGAGAAAGAACTCTTGTCTGTTTCTGAGGATGCCTGCCATAGATGTGGGCAAAATGTCAGGAGAGAATGCTTCTGGAACATGACCACACAGCCCGGAAACTCACAGCAACCCAGTGATTCCAGCCATGGAAGCCTTCGACAACATATTTACTTTCAGTTTCCTACCTCTCCGCTTTTGTACCTCATTTCCAAGTCACAATATAAAACTAGGGAGGGAGAACTGAATATTTTCCAGTCATAGAAATAATGGCTGTAAGTCTCATGTGATTTGGGCCAAAATAAAGATGTTTTACTTACAGTTTGCAGTAAGTTCTCACAGAGTTTTTTGGCAGCTGCGAGGCCTTCTGGTTTGGGATGGCTGTAAAAAAGCAACATAATAATAATAATAATAATAATAATAATAATAATAATAATAATAATAACAATAGAAGAAGAAGAAGAAGAAGAAGAAGAAGAAGAAGAAGAAGAAGAAGAAGAAGAAGAAGAGGAGAAAGTAGTAGTCATCATCGTCGTCCTCTGGGACTTCCAAATTCAGACAGTTAGAGTTTTGGAGCACAATACTCCCGACCTCATGATTGTGTTAAAAAACAAAGTATGGATTTATTTATTTTTTGTCGTGTCAGGAGCGACTTGAGAAACTGCAAGTCGCTTCTGCTGTGAGAGAATTGGCCGTCTGCAAGGACGTTGCCCAGAGGACGCTCGGATGATTTGATGTTTTTGTCATCCTTGTGGGAGGCTTCTCTCATGTCCCCGTATGAGGAGCTGGAGCTGATAGAGGGAGCTCATCCGCCTCTCCCCGAATTCGAACCTACGACCTGTCGGTCTTCAGTCCTGCCGGCACAGGGGTTTAACCCACTGCGCCACCGTATGGATTGTCAATGTTGCAATCCCAGTTGACAGCAAGATTGAAGAGACACAACTGGAAAAGATGACACGATATGAGGATTTGAAGATCAAACTGCAAAGACTCTGGCACAAGCCAGTTAAGGTGGTCCCAGTGGTGATTGGCACACTGGGTGCAGTGCCTAAAGACCTTGGCCTGCACTTAAACACAATTGGCGCTGACAAGATTACCATCTGTCAACTGCAAAAGGCCACCCTACTGGGATCTGCACGCATTAATTGCAGATACATCACACAGTCTTAGACACTTGGGAAGTAAAAAAAAATAGTAAAAATTCACGCAGTCCAGAAACGCTAGTCAAAGATGAAGAGAAAGATTCCTAGCTGCTGCAATGGCGGCGGATGAAAGGAACTTAAGCAGTAGCCCCATCCACTGGCTATATATACTCTCAAGGGGGCAGGGGCTACCGCCTAAAAGTGTCTAATAAGTTTTCTAGAAGATTCCGAACTGTCTGCGCAGGCGCAGGAAATACCATATGTGCGATTCACAATTGACCACGATGGGGAACCATCTACTTATCAGCAATGTAAAGTTAAGAGGGCATATAAAAGTAACAGGAGAAAACAGTAGGCTGGGTCTATAAATTGCTTCCCAATTTATAGGAAATAACTGTTTTTTTAAAAATACTGAACTAAGCAATCACCTTACCACAACTCCAAATTTAGAACAGCATAGAGATATGATCCCAAGCAAAAAGATCGCCTACCTGATGTAAATGTACATAGGCTCAAAGGCTTCTCGGCCAGAGGCAGGTTCGATGCAGCCAGAGCCCTTCCCTCGGAGGAACACCTTGGCGCCCGTCTCAATCTGAATGTGCTGCAGGTAAGAGCAGCCTGGGCCCTCCACTTTCTCCTTCACGTTGAAGGTCGGTACGGCATGTTCCAAGCCAACAAACAACTTGTCTTGGACGTAATGCATCTGTGTATAAAGGCAAGCAGTTTAAGACTTTGCATTTGTCACCAAAATGGCAAAAAGACAGAAGTTTGCACCATCTCCACACTCACTTGCTTTTATGCTGCTACAACTACATACCATATATACTCGAGTATAAGCCGAGGCACCTAATTTTATCACAAAACAATGGGAAAACGTATTAACTCGTGTACAAGCCGAGGATGGGAAATGCAGCAGCTACTGGTCAATTTCAAAATAAAAATAGATACCAGTAACATGAATTAATTGAGGCATCTGTAGGTTAAATGATTTGGAATATTTACATAAAACTGCAATTTAAGATAAGGCTGCCCAACTCTGATGAAATCATTATTCTAACCTAATAATAACAATAATAGAGTAAAATAATAAATGTAATAACAATAATAATAAATAGAGCAAAATAATAAATGTAATAACAATAATAATAGAGCAGAATAATAAATATAAAATAAGAATAGAATCATAGAGTTAGAAGTGACCTCCTGGGCCATCCAGTCCAACCCCATTCTGCCAAGAAGCAGGAATATTGCATTCAAATCACCCCTGACAGATGGCCATCCAGCCTCTGTTTAAAAGCCAAAGAAGGAGCCTCCACCACACTCCGGGGCAGAGAGTTCCACTGCTGAACAGCTCTCACAGTCAGGAAGTTCTTCCTAATGTTAAGGTGGAATCTCCTTTCCTGCAATTCTAGAGAACAAGCCCTGTGAGGAGCAGTTTAAAGAGCTGGGCATGTTTAGCCTGAAGAAGAGAAGGCTGAGAGGAGACATGATAGCCATGTATAAATATGTGAGAGGAACTCACAGGGAGGAGGGAGCGAACTTGTTTTCTGCTGCCCTGGAGACTAGGAACAATGGCTTCAAACTACAAGAAAGGAGATTCCATCTGAACATGAGAAAGAACTTCCTGACTGCGAGAGCTGTTCAGCACTGGAACTCTCTACCCCAGAGTGGTGGGCTTTTAAACAGAGGCTAGATGGCCATCTGTCAGTGCTTTGAATGTGATTTTCCTGCTTCTTGGCAGACTGGGTGTAGTACAATATGGGAATGTATGTTACTAATATTGTGCTGTGCTAATAATATAATATATTGTATACACATATAATATTGATAACAATATTATAATGTAATACAATATAATACTACTACTACTACTACTACTACTAATAATAATAATAATAATAATAATAATAATAAAGGTTGTCCCCTGACATTAAGTCCAGTCATGTCTGACTCTGGGGTGTGGTGCTCATCTCCATTTCTAAGCCGAAGAGCCGGCGTTGTCCATAGACCCCTCCAAGGTCATGTGGCCGGCATGACTGCATGGAGCGCCGTTACCTTCCCGCCGGAGCGGTACCTATTCATCTACTCACATTTGCATGTTTTCGAACTGCTATGTTGACAGAAGCTAGGGCTGACAGCGGAAGTTCACTCCGCTCCCCGGAATCGAACGTGCGACCTTTCGGTCAACAAGCTCAGTAGCTCAGTGCTTTAACCCACTGTGCCACCGGGGGCTCCTAATGTAATAATAATAATAATAATAATTTAAAATAATAAAGAACCTTGAGTTGAGCATAAGTCAAGGGGGGCTTTTCTAGCCTAAAAAAGGGGCTGAAGAACTCAGCTTATACTCCAGTATATATAGTCCCCCCTTGTTTTAACTCCAAAAAAAAATCTTTCTTGCCTCTTTAGTGGGACAAAGGTTAAGTCTCCAGTTCTATACTCCAGAAAAGATCAATGGCGTAAATGCCAGGAGCCAATTCCAGACTGTACACACCCCAACACACACACAGAGTAACCCCAATACTTCTATTTTCCCAAGCAACACACTGCAAATATTTTTTTAATTTGACTGAATACATGGACTGTTCATCCCACACTTAAAAGTTTGATCACCAAAGTCAAGACAGGCAAAATATTTTACAACCAGCAGTGTTTAAGCTTGCTTTTCCCAACATTGTGCTCCCATTCTAGACCTATTCCTCACCAATGTCCATATTAGCTGGGACAAATGAGAACTACAATCCACAATGGAAAATTGAGAAAGGTTGACATAGATTTTGTTGGATAGTACAGTAAGGTCTTTGCATCTCTGCAAGGGGGACCTCTCTCTCCATCCCATTTCTCTAAGAGGATAGTATCAGCAGAACCCTGCTCAAATGGCACTGCCTTCTTAATCCTCTATGTACATAGGCCGAACAGACCAATTCAAGTATAATAATCAGCAGGAAGTGTGTCCTACAGTGCTAAATATTCCACGTAGAGCTCAAAAAAAGTTGGTATAAAGGCTATATTCCCTGCCTCCCCAATACATACTCCTCCGGACTGGAACGGAGGCTTGTGGCCAACACTTGGCAGCTGAGTGACAGGAGCAGGCTGGTGGTAAACGGTCACTGTAGCTCCATTAAATGTTGGACTGGACCCAGTAGCAGCTTTCACGACGCCGTTAGTAATGATTTCTTTGATTCGGTTTACAGCTCCTGCGGGGGGGAATCAAAAGGCACTTGTGGACACACGTCAGGGGGGACCCCACTTCTGCAACCAATGATAACGAGTAAGATACTTACTGTCCACCAGTTCTCGAGTCTGTCCCTGGACGTGCAAGTACAAGGGCCGATCTCTGTTAGAAAAAAAATGTCTTTGTATTTTAACCTGAAAGCAGGCTGAAATGGTGCAATTCAAAATTACCATATATATATATATATATATAAAAATGTAATGTTCGTTTGTGGGATTAAAAGAACTCAAAAACCACTGGGCGAATTGACACCAAATTTGGATCAAGACACCTCTCAGAGCAACGAGTGACCATCACTCATAAAAACACAGAAAAACACAGCAGAAGGGACTTAAAAAGTAAGAAAACCACCCCTAAGAATACATTACAATGAATGCGCAACACCACATATATATATATACACAAACACACATATATACACACATATATACATACTCACACACACAAAACACATACACAGAAAGGGGGAAGGAAGGAAGGAAGGAAGGAAGGAAGGAAGAAGGAAGGAAGGAAGGAAGGAAGAAGAGGGAAAGAAAAGAAAGGAGAGAAGGAAGGAAAGAGAAGGAGAGAAGGAAGGAGAGAAGGAAAGGAAGAGAGAAGGAGGGAGAGAAGAAGGGAAAGAGGAGGAAGAGAGAAGAGAAAGAAAGGAGGGAGAGAAGAGAAGGAGAGAAGGAGGGAAAGGAAGGAGGAAAGAAAAAAGGAAGAGAAAGGAAAAAAGGAGGGAGAAGGAGGAAGGGAGAAGAGGGAAAGAAGAGGAGGAGAAAGAAGAAGGAAGAAGGAGAGGAGGGAGAGAAAGGGAAAGGAGAGAAAGGAAAGAAAGAAAGTAGAGAAGGAAGAAGGAGAAAGGAAAAGAAGAGAAAGAGGAAGAAGGAGAGAAGAAGGAAGGAGAAAGAAGGAAAGAAAGGAGGAGGAGGAAAGAAGAAGGGAAGAAAGAAGAAAGGAGAGAAGGAAGGAGAGGAAAAAGGAAGGGAAGGAAGGAGAGAAGGAAAAAAGAAGGGTAGAGAAGGAAAGAAGGAGAGAAGAGGGAGAGAAAGAGGAAAGAGGGAAGGAGAGAAGGAAGGAGAGAAAGAAGGGGAAGAAAGGAGGAAGGAGAGAGAGGAAGAAGAAGGAGAAAGAAAAAAGAAAAAAGAAGAAAGGAAGAAAAGGAAGAAAAGGAAAGGGAAGGAGGGAAGAAGAAGAAAGAGAGAAGAGGGATGGAAACAAAAAGCAAAGGAAGGAAAGAGGTAGAGAAGGAAGAAAGAGAAGGAAAGAAAAGGGGAAGGAAGAGGAAGGAGGAGGAAGGAGGAAGGAAGGAAGGAAGGAAGGAGAAAGAGGGAGGGAAGGTTGGCCACAGCAACGCGTGGTGGATATAGCTAGTACTTGAATATAAGCCATTTTTTCCAGCCCTTTTTTCAGGCTGAAAAACCTCCCCTCGGCTTATATTTGGGTGAGGGTCCTGGCGGGAGTGTGTTTCCCCACGCCTTCCCGCTAGGCTGAAAAACCCGGCTTATACTTGAGTATACACAGTAAGTCTGTTATCTACCAAAATGAAACATCAGAATTGGACAAGAACATTCAGAAAACTGCCCAGTCCTGGAGGATGACAGGATATGGAAAAAGAAGCAAGAGATACAAACCCGGGTCCAACTTTGGCTTTCTCTTCCACAGTCATGTACCTCCCGCGAGTTGAGACAGCTGCACCACTCAACTTGCTTATCTGTAAACACAAAGTGGACAGAAATTGAATTGGTTAGGAAAGATAAGGAAAAGGACAGAGGCTAGAGGTGACAGCAGACACCTTGCTTTGAGTGATCTAAAGAGGCCTTTTAGAAGTTATATCAAAGTGTAAACAATGAATGAATACAAACATGTCCAACCTCATCCTGTGTTTGTCCTCTGGTCAACAGGTTTCGGCATGTTAGGGGCACATCATTGATTTCTACTTCTGCTACCACCAGGTCATCCTTGCTTTTGCTGCCTGCTGAGCCTTTCCCAGGAGCCTGAAGCTGGAGAGAAGAAGTGTATTGTTGGCTTAGCAACTGGACTCTAAATACAAGAAAAGGTTTGCATGGCAAGGAGTGGGAAATAAGAGTTTCCCTTGTTGACTCAGACCTTCAAGGATTAAAAGAGGTAGGAAGACATTTACAGAAAAAGGTTTAATCCCTTCCCACACTCTTTCCCACAGCAGAAAGTATGCGCCAAACTAGCTTTACTTTGACTTCACAATTATACCTCAATGTACTTTAGGTTTGCACCGGGATTGTGGAGCAGCTGACTGAGTGTCAGCTGCATTAAGATAACTCTGACCAAAAGGTCATGAGTTTGAAGTGTAGGCTCGGGATTTGAAAACATTGATAGTTTATTCAGAAAAGTTAACCAAGTAAATGATACTGACTGTAAGCCTCAAGATTGCAACAAAACACAAATGTAACCACAAGCGTTGGAGCCAGAAGTTATAAATAAACGGTGTTACTTTGTTATACACGAGAGTGTTTCATTGCTTGTGATATAAAGTACAAAGGTTTAACAGCATACAGAAAGTCCCAGCCAATATAAAAGAAGAAACTGAATCAGTATAAGGCAGCAAAGAGGTTTTTAAAAAGGAAATAAGTCTCTCTCCCTCGCCTCACCAGCCCGGGTTGGAGTGGGTTTCCAACCAATTGTGTAGCCTGTTGTCGACCTTTGCAACCCGAAAGACAGTTGCATCTGTCAAGTAGAAAAATTAGGTACCACCTTAAAGTGTGGGGAGGCTAAATTAACTAATTTATGAGGCCATAAAAAATGACTCCGGCAAGCACTCCGGCGAAAAGCATGCGGGGAATGCGGAAGTACTTCATCAGTGTCGCAGATGGATGATGAAAAGCGACAGCTCCCCTGGCGGCCAGAAAAAGGTAAATAGCCTCTGTGTATGTCTGTATATGTTGTATGTCAAAATTGGCATTGAATGTTTGCCATATATGAGTCCCCTGCAGGGTGAGAAGGGCGGAATATAAATTTATTTATTTATTTATTTCGGTTGTTTCTACCCCGCCCTTCTCACCCCCTAGGGGGGACTCTGGGCGGCTGACATCCGGCACAATTCGATGCCAACAGTTACAATAAAATGCAATAGCAATAACACAATAGATTAAAAACAAACACTTAATACAGTACAATACAATATCAACTAAAACCGCTCTATAGCCCGCGTTCATCGGGTTCTAAAATCCGTCAATCCATTTAGCATTGCCATAGTCCTTTCCAACTCTAGTCATCATTACCTTGTTAATCTGCCAGATTACCCAAATGCCTGGTCCCATGCTCTTACTGGCACCAAAACAAACTAACGAACTGCTAATGTATGCATTAGGTAAATCCCTTTGCAGAAAAAGGCGCTTTCTCTTGCAACCACCAATTCAGTCTCTTCAGTTCCATCTCTTGCCTTCACCCAACTGGCCACTGACCTTGTCGGTTGAACTTGCCGATGGCTTCAGCTTCCCTTTCGCCATTAACATGGCATTGATTTTGGCTGCCACTGCAGCAGCGGCATCGAGAGCGCCCAGCGGGGCGGCCGAACCCTCAGAGCCCGACATCCCGTCTCCGCTGCCCTGGACGGGACGGCCAGCAACAGGGGTGGTAGCAGGGAGCAGGAAGAGAGCTGGAGACGGACCAGGCTGGTCCCATTTGCTGCGTCGCCTGAAAGATTCAAGGAAGTCTTTAGGATTCCTCTCCCGTTGCTTACCCATCTTAGGGAAACACAAATGAAAGGCACCACTATAGGATGGGAGAAGTCTGAGGAGACCACACACTGAAGATGAGTGAACAGTGTGATGCAGCAGCTCAAAAGGGAATACAGTGCCTAAAGTAAACAGTAATACAGTGCCTAAAGCAGTGATGGGCAACCTTTTGCGCTTGGTGTGTCAACATTTGCCAAAAAGGGGGTGTCACTTCAAGAAAAAAAACATAATTTTGCTATATTTATTTATATAAATAAAAATGTAATGTTAGTTCGTGCTACGATTACAACCCAAAAACCACTGGGGAAACTGACACCAAATTTGGACACAAGACACCTAACAGTCCAATTTATGTCCTCCACTCAAAAAATTTGATTTTGTCATTTGGGAATTGTCGTTGCTGGGATTTATAGTTGCTGGGATTTGAACTCCACCAATGATGGAATTGGGCCAAACTTAGCACACAGGGCTCCCATGACCAACAGAAAAAACTGGAAGGGTTTGGTGGACATTGACCTTGAGTTTGGGAATTATAGTTCACCCACATCCAGAGAGCACCATGGACTCAAACAATGATGGATCTGCACCAAACTTGGCACGAATATTCCATATGCCCAAATATGAACACAGATGGAGTTTGGAGGAAATAGACCTTGACATTTGGGATTTGTACTTACTAGGATTTATAGTTCACCTACAATCAAAGAGCATTCTGAACTCCACCAATGATGGAATTGAACCAAACATGGCATACAGGACTCCCATGACCAACAGAAAACACTAGAAGGGTTTGGTGGGCATTGACCTTGAGTTTGGGAGTTGTAGTTCACCTACATCCAGAGAGCATTGTCGACTCAAACAATGATGGATCTGGACCAAACTTGACACAAAAATTCCATATGCCTAAATATGAACACAGATGGAGTTTGGAGGAAATAGACCTTGACATTTGGGATTTGTAGTTACTGGGATTTATAGTTCACTACAATTAAAGAGCATTCTGAAACCCACAAACGACAGAAATGGGGCAAACTTCCTACACAGAACCCCCATGACCAACAGAAAATACTTAAGGCCATCCAGTCCAACTCTCTTCACCAGGGCAAGAAAATGTAATCAGAGCCGTCTTGACAAAGAGCCATCCAGTCATAAATATAGATAGATAGATATGATTCTCTCTCACACACACACAGATATAGTATCATAGATTTGAAAGAGACCCCTAAAGAAGGACAATTATATGTTGCATGTTCCAGAGTAGGCAAATCAGACAATCTCCACATCAACACTGACAAAGAAACAGCAAGAAATACTGTTTACCCACAAGCATAAATTACATATATTAGAAACCAACACTTTCTCATTACTTTATTTTCCAGATCAACAGACTGGGCCACAGCAAAACATGGCAGGGGACAGCTAGTATTTATATAAAAAAATGTATAATCCATGCTGAGTTATGGAGTGAACATGCTCAAACGTGCAGATATTAAATTTGTAGAGCCTTTTACAAATTTAAGGATGGAATTAGATTGGCTCTTAGAAGGTGTTTTGGAGTTGTAGTTCACCTACATCCAAGAGCACTGTGGACTCAAACAATGATGGATCTGGACCAAACTTGGCATGAATACTCACTATGCCAAGTTTGAACACTGGTGGAGTTTGGGGAAAATAGAATCTTGACATTTGGGAGTTGTAGTTGCTGGGATTTATAGTTCACCAACAACCAAAGAGCATTCTGAACTCCACCAATAATGGAATTGAACCAAACTTGGCACACAGAACTCCCATAACCAACAGAATATACTGGAAGGGTTTGATAGGCATTGACCTTAAGTTTGGGAGATATAGTTCACCTATATCCAGAGACATTGAACTTGAAATTTGGAGTTGTAGTTCACCTACATCCAGAGAGCACTGTGGACTCAAACAAGGTTGGATCTGGACCAAACTTGGCATGGATACTCAATCTGCCTAAATGTGAACACTGGTGGAGTTTGGGGGAAATAGACCTTGACATTTGGGAGCTGTAGCTGCTGGGATTTATAGTTCACCTACAATCATGGAGCATTCTGAACCCTGCCAAGGATAGAATTGGACCAAACTTCCCACATGGAAACCAGATGGCCAATACTGTGTTTTTGATAGTCTTTGGCGACCCCTCTGACACGTCCTTATGACCCCCCCAGGAGTCCAGAGAGAGCAAAGGCCCTTTGGCTGGCTCATGGGCTAAGAGTAGGCCATCTGGCCTAGGCCCTCCCCCAGCAGGCCTCTCCCGTGCTGCCGCCCGAGGTCCCACCTCCTCCACCTCCGCCTCCTTACCCTCCCGAAGCCCCAGGTTCGCGCTGCCCCGCGCCGCCCGCTGACATGGCTCACGCAGCCCCGCTTAGGCCGCCGCCACCGTCGCCGTCCCCAGCCTTGAGGGGGGGAAGAAAAATCCCCTTCTACGTCACTTCCGACTCCTTGCAGGCAGCTTCCGTGATGTAACTTCCGGCGGTTGCCCTGGCGACGACGAGTGACGCGCTTGTGGGCGGAGCTTCCGGTTTCTGTGGGATTTAAAGGGAAATCACTGAAGGAAAGGAAGGAAGGGATCCCTGTACTAGCTGTCCCCTGCCAGGTGTTGCTGTGGCCCAGTTTGGTGGTCTGGAAAATGAAGTAATGAGAAAGTGTTGGTTTCTAATCTAATGCCTGTGGGTAAACAGTATTTCTTGCTGTTTCTTTACCAGTGTTGATGTGGAGAGCGTCTGGTTTGCCTACTCTAGAACAGGCAAAATATAGAATCATGTATTGCAACATATAGAATCCACCTTCTCACATATTTATACATGGCTATCATGTCTCCTCTCAGCCTTCTCTTTTTCAAGCTGAACATGCCCAGCTCCTTAAGCCGCTCCTCATAGGGCTTGTTCTCCAGACCCTTGATCATTTTAGTCGCCCTCCTCTGGACACATTCCAGCTTGTCAACTCTCACATATTTATACAGGGCTTGAATGATCTACGAATGGAACAAATCAAGAACTCTGGTCCAAAAGCAAGGCGCTGGCTGCTGGAGCTGATGAACAACTGCACTGCATCCTGTCAGATCCCCAAAATCTGGAGGAAAGCAAGTGTCATCGCCATCTTGAAGCCAGGCAAAGACCGTAATGACCCAAAAAGCTACAGACCAATCTCCCTGTTGTGCCACCTCTACAAAGTTCTGGAGAGACTTATTTTGCATAGAATTATGGAAAAAATAGACCCCTGTCTGATCCCACAGCAAGCTGGCTTCAGGAAAGGCAAAAGCTGCACATCGCAAGTGCTGAACCTGACTCAGGACATAGAAGATGGCTTTGAAAGGCAGCAGATCACAGGAGCTGTCTTCATAGACCTGTCAGCAGCTTATGACTGTGAACCACCGCCTCCTCCTGAGAAAAATGTATAATATCACAAAGGACGACCACCTCACCCGCCTCATAGGAAACCTGCTACAAAACAGGAGCTTCTTTGTTGAGTTCCAGGGCCAGAGAAGCAGATGGCGGAAACAGAAGAACGGCCTGCCTCAGGGGAGCGTACTTGCTCCATCCATGTTCAACATCTACACAAATGACCAGCCACTGCCAGAAGGGACAGAGAGTTTCATCTATGCTGATGATCGTGCCATCACCGCTCAAGCAGGGAGCTTTGAGATGGTTGAACAGAAGCTCTCCGAAGCTCTAGGTGCTCTTACTGCCTACTACAGGGAAAACCAGCTGATCCCCAACCCATCTAAAACACAGACATGTGCTTTTCATCTCAAGAACAGACAAGCATCCCAAGCTCTTAGGATTACCTGGGAAGGAATACCACTGGAGCATTGTAATACACCCAAATACATGGGAGTCACTCTGGACCTACAAGAAACACTGCCTGAACATCGAGCAAAAAGTGGGTGCTAGAAACAATATCATACGAAAGCTGACTGGCACAACCTGGGGATCACAACCAGATACAGTGAAGACATCTGCCCTTGCGCTATGCTACTCTGCTGCTGAGTATGCATGCCCAGTGTGGAACACATCTCACCACACTAAAACAGTGGATGTGGCTCTTAATGAGACATGCCGCATTATCACGGGGTGTCTGCGCCCTACACCACTGGAGAAATTACACTGTTTAGCCGGTATTGCACCACCTGACATCTGCTGGGAAGTAGTGAAAGGACCAAGGCAGAGACATCTCCAGCTCATCCCTGTTTGGGTATCAGCCAGCACGTCAACGACTTAAATCTAGAAATAGTTTTCTAAGATCTACAGAGACACTCGCTGGAACACCTCAGCAAGCGAGAGTCCAAAAATGGCAGGCTCAAACCCAGAACCTCAACCAATGGCTGATACCAAATGAGAGACTCCCTCCTGGGCACACAGAGGATTGGGCAACTTGGAAGGCACTGAACAGACTGAACCACGAGATGCAGAGCCAACCTTTAGAAATGGGGCCACAAAGTGGAATCCACGACATGCGAGTGTGGAGAAGAGCTACAGACCACCTGCTGCAATGCAACCTGAGCCCTGCCACATGCACAATGGAGGACCTTCTTGCAGCAACACCAGAGGCACTCCAAGTGGCCAGATACTGGTCAAAGGACATTTAATCAACTACCAAGCTTGCAAACTTTGTGTTTTGTCTGTTTGTTTTGTTTAAAAATATAATACAAATGTCTGGTTGCTCCTGACACGATAAATAAAATAAATACCAATTATTTTATGAGATTATTCTCGGAGCTTGTGTTTGGGTTTGTGGTCAAAATGAAGGCTTCCTGGACAGAGGCCTGCCAGCTAAATACATTGCAACCGGGCAGGAAGGTATTAACACTATTTAATCAGGTTCGTGCACCATTCTTGAAGGCAAGAACATTAAGACAGAGAGGAAGAGCAGCATGAATTTATCTGATGGAAAGTTCCCCACAATCGAGTGTTTACATGCTTCCTTTACATTATTTGTGATAAGGAACACGGACAGGAAGAAATGCATTGCGGAGGAGACACCACCAAAGTCAAAGGAACGACTGAGAGTGACTCACTTCCCTTGGTTTCACAGCTCAGGTTTATTTTAGCACCAGGTCCTTAGAACTCATGATGGAAAGCAGAGATACTCGGTACGTAGAGCTGACGCCTGTGCTTGTTTACAGCGATGTACATCCAACTGAATTGAAGGCCCCAACCCTGTTGTATGGCAGTGTAGTCGAACATGACCCCCCCCCCCCCCCAATTAGAGATAGTAACTTATAGTTTTGCCAAGGGCAAGGACACCAGGCTGGATAATAAGGGTTAAGCCTTGGTCAATTTGGTGTGTATCATTTAATAAAGGCTTTATGCCCTATTTTCATATGTTTACAGCAGAAGGTAACCAATTTATTACTGAAAATCATGCCACAAAAGTATTTGAATTTTTCCATCTGAGGCACACCTGGGCTCCTGATGGTCCCCCATCTCACAAACAAGGGACTCTCTTTCCCCCTCATGGATATTTCCCTTTATGGACCTTCCTATGAATAATATGAACTATGGACACTGGGGGAAGGTAGTTGGGTTTACTCTCTGTATTATGATTTCTATATTTTCATATTTTCTCCTGTATTTCTATATTTCCCCTCATGTTTTCTGACCTTGCCCTGACCCTTTTGCCCCCTTCCCCTCTCCTTCCAGGCTCTGAAGCTGTAAGGCTATTCAATGCAAATACGCTCTCTACGTGGGGTTGCCTTTGAAGACAGCTCGGAAGCTCCAACTAGTCCAACGCTCGGCAGCCATGATTTTAACAGGAGCGGAGTGCAGGGAGCATACAACCCCCCTGTTGCGCCAACTCCACTGGCTACCGATTTGCTACCGGGCTCAATTCAAAGTGCTGGCGTTGGCCTTTAAAGCCCTAAACGGTTCCAGCCCAAGCTACCTATCCGACCGCATCTCTGCCTATGAACCCACCAGGACTTTGAGATCTTCCGGGGAGGCCCTGCTCTCGATCCCGCCTGCCTCACAGGCACGGCTGGCGGGGACGAGAGATAGGGCCTTCTCGGTGGTGGCCCCTCGGCTGTGGAACGCCCTTCCCACGGATATTAGACTAGCTCCATCACTAATGGTATTCCACAAAAAAGTGAAAATCTGGTTGTTTGAGCAGGCTTTCGAATAGTCAGTGCAATGAGTGTAATGAACATAGGAATGGAACAATGGATGACAAATCTGGATCATGTTTTCAGTGACGAGATGCTAGTGAATGGCTATTGTTGTTAATTGTATATGACTGTATAAGGTGTTAGGATGTTAACTGTTTTTATACCGTGTTATTGTAGTATCGTATTTTTGCTGTTCTGTTGTTAACCGCTGTGGGTCGCCTAAGGGCTGAGAACAGCGGTATACAAATAAAGTAAATAAATAAATAAATAAATGTATTTGACCTTGCCCTGACCCTTTTGCCCCCTTCCCCTCTCCTTCGGGGAAATCTACAATCCCTGCCTCTGGAAAAGCAATCAGCAATCATGAAAAGACCCTTATCTTTGGACATTCTTTGCATGGACAAGAGTAAAGGAAATCCTTTTGACTTCGGAGTTGGGCCACCATTAGGATTTCCGTTTGGCAGACTTTTTAATCATATAACAATGGGGGGAATATGACCTTAGGAAAGTCCTCTTTTCCTCCAAGCCGTTTTTCTTTCAAATCTTTCCACTAAGGACATTCACAAAAGTTTCCCCTTTGTGCCCTATCTGATTGTAAGAGGAAAACCCAGATTAAGCCATCAATGCTTATCACAGACCCATCTCAGGACAATAAAGTGGCTTCTCTGGAAGGCCGATCCCCAGACTTGATAAGCCTAAGGACATTAAAACTCCATAATCCACTCCAGAATGCATTGTCTCCCTTCATCCCGCCTCCCTCCCTTCTGATTCGCTGTAGCGTCGAGGCAGCAGGAGCCTCCTGATAGGCTGTGGCGCCCCGCGAAAGCCCTGTGATTGGCCCTGATGCATGGGGGATGGCCAAGCCTCCTCCCAGCTGTTTGCGTGTCAGCCAATCCCCTTCGAGCTGAGCGGGAGGGGAGAGCGGGAATTTTGAAACAACTCTGTATGTTCTATAAAAATGGTCTTTAGTTCTGTAACCACATGCTCTGCTTGGCGAATGATTGCTGCTCTGCATCCTTTTCAGCTGAATCGCTAATAAACCTCGGTGGCACTTCCTTCCACTTGATGAGACCTTTTATTGGGAAAAATCAGGGATTGGGTGCTTCTCTCTGTCTCGCCAGGGTAACAAACTCTTTAAAGAGTCTGATTGGTCTCTGCCTCCTGGCAAAGACCCCTAAATTCCAGCTCTATAACACGGGACAACAGCTTTATATCAAGCACCTTGGTCTCCCTACGGATGTCCCAGTCCTCAAACACTCTCTGCTTCATTCTGAAAAACGCTGCACTTGCAGAGCTCAGGCGGTGTTGTATTTCGGTGTCGAT